TGAACTCCAGAAATCTACAGTATTAGATACATGCTCCATAGTTAGAAAATTTTTAAATAGTCCAATTCCTAACATTCCTACTGAATAAAATAAAATATGAGAACAAGTGACTTGGTAACAATCCCGTCCTTGTCTCTACAAAACCAGCTATAAGCTGAGAAATAATACATATGTATATAATAATAATAATAATTCTTTATTATCAGGTACTTAGCCCATAGAGGTACAATTGTATTACAACGTGCACGGATAACATATAAAAAAATATAAAAATATAACAATCAAAATATACAAAAAGAAAAACATAAAAATTAAAATATGTAGAAAATTTATAATTTATAAAAAGTAAAAGTAAATAATATAGCAAGAAGCAAGAGAACATTATTTAATGTTCCTGTCTTGGTGCACGGACAACCAATACTTTTGAATGGGACTGTTCAGACACTGGGACAATGTGCTGAGGATTTCATTCTTTGAATTCCGAATGTGAGCCCAGAAATTTGCTACACGATCTCTTATTATAGCGAAGTAATCATTCACCCTGGACTCCGCAAACATGCCCGACGCACTACAGTATTTCGGAAGCCTCATCAAAATGCGGTATGCATTATTATACTGCACTCTAATGCTGTTCCGCGCACTTTTGGTGCAATTTGTCCAAAGCTGACATGTATAGAAACATTGACAAAATGCTCGAAACAATGTCAACTTCACATCTGGACTGCAACGGGCGAACCTTCGCGCGAGCATGTTGCAACGGACGGCCAGGGCCCTTCGTTCTCGTTCCACATCTCCGTCATCGCGAAAATCCTCCGTCACGATATGTCCCAAGTATCTGAACCGACCCACTCTTTCCACTGCAGCGCCGTCTATAAAAACTGGCGGGATCCTCTCCGGTCCTCTCCCAGACCGAAATACCATCATTTGTGTTTTTTTTACATTGTATTTCAGTCCATGACTCGATACATAACGTTCACAAATTGCTAACAATTTTCTTAGTCCACTGATAGAGGGACTAAGAAGAACCATATCGTCAGCGTAGCTTATACTATTTAAACAAGTAGTTCCAATATGACAGCCTACTTTGGCGCTTCTTAGTTCCCCTATCAGGTCATTTACATATAAATTAAAGAGGTCCGGTGAGGTCAGCCCTCCTTGACGAACTCCGCACTCTAGTCTATACTCACTAGAGGTGGTGCTGCCCCATTTTACAAAATTCGTCTGTCCACAGTACCAAACCCTCAACAGATTAATAATTCTGTTTGGTACAGCCGATAAATTTAGTTTCTCCCACAATAAATCATAATTTACCAGGTCGAAAGCTCGACTTAAGTCTAAAAAACACGCGTAAACTGACGTACTTCTTTCGACATAATAGTGAACGGCCGATTTAAAACAAAATATAGCTGAATCTGTCGAGAGTCCAGGCCTGAAGCCAAACTGCGCATCATCTATTTTCATACTACGCTGCAGTTCTGGTTGAATTAATCTTTCGAGTATCTTACCAATAATTGTACCTAATGATATGGGTCTATAATTGTTAATATTCGAAGGGTCACTAGTTTTATGTTTCTGAATAGGTATCACTACAGTTTTCATTAGATTCTTAGGCAAATAGGCCGAGTTAATACAAATATTATATAAGTCAGACAATACATGAAAAATAATTTCACCCGCATTTGCAATGTGCTCCACACTCAGCCCGTCAAATCCTGGAGATTTACCACGTTTCATTGCCCGAACTACTCGAGCAACATCGTCTGAACTAAAATAAAAAAATTCATTGTCTACATTTTCGTTAACCGTACGCGGGCACACCGCAGCACGACATGAACGAGGTTTCACAAGGAAATGGCGCGAAAATAAGTCAGCAATCGATTTGTGATTGTATTCACCCTGTATACTAGCCGGTATACTTGATCCATAATCAAGCCGTCTCGTGCTTCTCCAAAATTTGCCAAAGTTTTTATTCGCTTGGTGCAAGGCTAATATATTCATTTTAATTTGATCCTCATTATTCTGGCACCACCTCAACTTGTTTTTAAAAGCCTTACGAGTATCAACCATATTTTTATAAATATCGCCCGTCACCGGTCTACCACCTAGCACCCAACAGTCAAAATGAATTTTGGCTGTTTGATGTAAACGTTTTACGTGGTAGTTCCAACCTAATATATGTTTGTTCTTTTTCCGTGCACCTCGACTTACATACTTTATTGCACCATCCTGTAGAATTTGTACTATATTATTATAATAATTGTCCAATAAAAATAAATGCTTTTTGCAAAAGTGATTATTACAACAGTTGACACATTGACTAGACAATTTAAAATTTTGCAATCTATCATAACAATAGTCAGAGTATAAATGTATTTGCTCAACATTCCTTTCCCCCCAGCGAACACCACACAACACGTCATCTGTATTATCAATTATTATTTTCTTAGCGACAGTACTGAGTTTACACAAAATTATTAGCGGGAGATGGTCCGACCAGTACACACCGTAGTCCACACGAGCCGCCGAGACAGTTTCACGAGCAGCAGCTGTCACCACACAATGGTCCAACCAGCGCCTTGTACCACATCCATCGTTCATATGAGTATAAGTACTATCCTCTAACAACTCTCGATCAACACACACTAGTGACTGTTCTGAGCAGAATGACAGTAGCTCGTTACCAAACCTAGATACAGGATGTGCATTGTAGTCTCCAAGCACGTAAATAGCCTCCGTTTCTGCGTCATTTATTATCGCCTGTACACTTCCCAAACAGTTAGTAAATTCTAGCAAATTCTCTTCCCTTCCCTCATCATATGGTAGATAAACACATATCACGGCAATACTATGCCCATCGACATTAATTTGCACAGCAGCCAGTCTGTCACTAGGGCACTCTATAATAGACACTTTCGAGAAAACAGACTTACGCCACAGCAGTGCAACACCTCCATAGGGTCGGCCTTTCAATAACCCAACGGATGTATCCACAGACGACTTCGCAAAACATCCAAAGTCCCTGTCAATCTCATTCACAAAATTAAGATCATGAGGAAGCAACCATGTTTCCTGCAACGCTAGGATATCAACGCTCTTACACAAATCTCTAATCTGATTAACAGATCTCTTTATCGATCTACAATTAAAAGTAGCCATGGATATAGATATCTTGTTAGATTTATCCATAAAGTGTGTTATTAGAAGCGGTACGAATCACTCGTTCTCGATAACGTCGAAATACCAATCCTACTGGCCAGAAACTAGAATTTAGGAAGGTATTTATTTTATTACTTGATATTTTAACCTTAAAAGAATTAAATGACGTCTCTCGGTTTTGTTTGAGTAGCTCAACATTAAAGCATTCTTCCCCCATATCCTGAATATGAGCCCTTATATTTGACTCCGTAACAGTTTTTGATGCCCTTGAAATATAAATCGAACACTGTGATTCAGCTACTTGAATTTTAGCCGTATTTTCTAAAGTACCACGCATATTAATAAGTTTTTGTTTACGTTTTTTATATTTAACAACAGTGAATTGCTCACTATTGTTGTTCTCAAGAGTCTTATTAGATGTAGGTATTACTATATTTTTCGACATTAACTGCGCAACCACTCCACACTTCCCAGTCACTGCACTCGCAGGCGATATTGTACCATGTATGCGGTGCCGCTTACGAGCGCTTTTCGTTTGACTCGACAGTGTCCGGTGAACAATATCACGATAGGTCGGTGTATGAACGGTGTCGGTCACGTCCAGCGTGCCGCCGTGCACCGGCGACGGCACAACGACAGGCGGTAGCGGGCGAAGCTCTGCATTAATACTCCTATTTCTCGTCGGAGTCGTCGGGCTACTATTTATCCTTGTGTCTTTATCTTGCTTATTTATCGTCATTGATAAGTGTAATTCAGTTAACTCGGAGCTAACTTTCGTCTGAAATTCATTTAATTCTGTTCGCATCATAGACATATCTTTCAATAGACGAGTCACATCTACATAGTCAAAGGTTACAGACGGTAGGCGACTTAGGTCACGCGCAACGAAAATTGGTTGTTTGTCTGGATCCACTTCTTTAAGCACTGTAATGATATCTTTCACATTTTTCTTCTTCTTGTCGTCGCCCTTTCTGTGAATGTTCCTGGATCCATTTCCACACGCACAATACAATACATTTTTCCCCGTTTCAATTTCAGAATCTGAATAATTCGAAGCACATATTTGCATGATACTAAGTTCATCCAAAATGTCTATTTTGTTTTGAATAAATGCTAAAAGTTCATTAATTATTATATTATCCGCCATCTCTTAATAATTTAGACCGCGCACTCGTACATTATAAAATGTTATTATTCCGCGTATACAAACAATACGTCTACCTTACTACGAAACGTCTAGCGAACTGCAGTCGTATTATGAACTTTTAAAAAACCAGTCAAGTTCCAGGCAATTCACTTTACGGCCGTAAACTGCCTTGTTCTTTTTCGTATTATGACGTACAAAAAACAATCCGACTTCTGCCTGGATAATTTGTCTATGATGTTATTGTTGATGATGATGATGATGTTATAATTTGTCTATATATGTATATATATATATATATATATATATATATATATATATATATATATATATATATATATATATATATATATATATATATATAGTGTATAGAACATTCAAGGTTCAACCTGGAAACCATCGCGATTAATCGTTGTTGAATCCGTCACTATGGTCTAACTGACTTGGTTCTATCCTCATCATTCACCAGTGACTCACCAGACCAGTGATGTTAATAGAGCAGGCGGGATTATCATTCTATTATCATTTATTAAAAACCGTCCATACTGGAATTTCCTAGTGTAAGCATAACTATTTCCCAGAAACATGGGTCCTACCCATGAGTTATTAATGCAGGCGAATTTTCTATAAAATCTCCTTCTGTTATTTTTAAATTTGAATATTCGAGTTACTCGTAATAAATTTACGAGTAACAACTTACCTGCAATACTCTGAGCCTTAAAACCAACGCAAGTGGATAGTTGAGAGCGGTGCGAAATATCGTTCCATCTCTCTCGCCCGTCAGCGGAGCCGCTGACTCCTTCCGTCTAGATAGAGCTGCCTGAAACAAAACGAGAATTAAGATTTATAAAGCACCGTTCTCGTAATTTATCGTTATAAGTAATAGAATGGTAATGAAAATGAAATTAAATAATATGCGAGCATAATTTTTCATTTGCCCACTATTTTGTATGCGTGGATTTCAAAACCTAATGAAATATACCATTTCTTGGTCGAATATCAAGATTAAACGTGCACTAGATTTTAAACTAGAACTTTGAGCCTACAATTGTAAAAACTGCACCAAGTTTGTTGCAGTAGTTTTAGCGTAATCTCAGAACAAACATACAGACAGGCAAAATTTCTAAAACATATTGTATCGGCATCTATTACTTATAATCATCTATACCAGAGGAAGACTTTGTACAAAAGTCGATTGCTTGGGTACCTTTGTCCCATTCGTGTTTCAACCGTAAAGCAGTTGTGTTTGCATGGCTGTGTTTCGGTTTGAAGGGTGGAATATGGCGTGAATTTACTGGGTACGGAGGAATAACACCTGAGTCCTCAGGAATGGCAACACATGGGGGGTATCATGGGCTAAACACTATACTCTGTTATGTCCTATGCGTACATCTCATTTCCTTTATGATATGCTATAAAAAACTTTCCAGAAAAATCTGCATCTATCGACTCTGGGCAATTACGAGGTCATTGCTCTATCTAGTCGTTGATGTCTCAAACTATTGAATTATGTATGTGAAAATTCTGAAATAAATTGGAAATAAATCAGTGATTGGAATTGAACGTGAAAGCGATCCTGTAGCTCCGGCTTCGCGGCGAAGAATCAAAACTCTCGGGTTTTAGCCAATAGGAAGGCCAATAGGCAATATCTAATCATGATCTCGTGGATTACTAGGTGATGTATTTCTCTTATATTAAAAATAGGGCTATGTTACATATGTAATGTTTTAACCCTAAGGGAGAATTTGTACAAAAGTCGTTTGCTAGGATACCTCTGTCCCATTCGTGTTTCTGCCTTGAAGCAGTTGTGTTTGCATGGCTGTGTTTCGGTTTGAAGAGTGGGATATGGCAGTGAATTTACAGGGTACAGAGGAATAATACCTGAGTCCTCAGGAATGGCAATGCATGGGGGGTATCATGTGCGAAACAGTATAATCTGTTCTGTTCATGATACTGCTCATTTCTATAGGCGATGGTTACCACTTTCCATCAGGTGGGCCGTCAGCTTGTTCGCCGTTGTAAGTTGCATAAAAAAATGTATTTTTTTTCTTATACCAAAAAAGTGGCAAACAAGCATACAGCTCGTCTGGTGGTAAACGATTACTGTAGTCTATGGACGCCTGCGGTTACTTTGGTAATTAATGATTAATAACCGGTTTTTATGGTTTCAAGTTTTAATGCTATGACATTGGGACATACTTTTCCGTGCACAAACTTACTTTTATGTTTATATTCGCAGAGAACAGGATTAATGATTTCTTTGCTATTTTACGTAAATGTAAAGAAATATTTCATGAAAGATTAATGAAAATAAATAATCCTATTGCTAAGACAGTATTGCAACACTGCGTAACTGATGACCAAGGAATTTATAATAAAATGATATTAATTGGTATTTTATTAATTAAAGTTTGTATAATGTAATGTAAAATTATAATTAATTAAAATTAAATTATTTTAAATAATTTAAAAGTACTCATTTAAATTGTATGAATTTTATAAGTGATATTTAGTTGTTAAAAAACTACATTATATTAGCTATTGATCAAATATTTGGTTATTAACTGTTATTAACTGGTTTTTATAAATAAATAACAAATTGCCCATCTCTCTCAAATTGCGATGTTAATTTATTACAATTAAAATGTTAACTTTGCATTTCCCACCTTCGATCGGCAATTTATATACGTCCCTATATAAGTAGACACCGGAGCCCAATAAATTTTATTTGGGGTCGCTATATACGATACTTCACGGCCGTATGTTTGAAACAGACATTAGGTTAACCAATTTATAGAAAAGGCACTCTAGTAAATGGCCCCTAAATAACACGTGAATTACTCGTGCGTATGTTATTCGATTAGTTCTTGTCACCGTACTTTGCTAGAAATAAAAAATATTATTGCACTAGGTGTTATTTTACGGAAGTCCATTATCATCATCATCATTTTCAGCCATTTTCTGTCCACTTCTGGATATAAGCCTCCCCCATAGACTGCCATAAAGAACGGTCCTGGGCCACCTGCATCCACTAACTGCCTGCAATGCATTTCAGGTCATCACTCCATGTAGTGGGGGGGAGGGGGTCGTCCTATACTGCATTAATGGAAGTCCACATCACTGGTTAATTGATTAGAATTATTTTGTTTAATTCCGCCACCAGTAGCGTGCGTGTGACTGCCAACACTCGAAGACTTACTACTATTATTATTACCAGAAATTCTAAAACTTCTGAAATACTCGTGATGTGGTGGAATAGCTGGCGAAGACTGATGGCTAATATTTAGCTATCAATCTTTGATCGCTTAACGTTATCTTCAGGATAAAATTAAAATTAAATAATAATAATTTTGAATGAATAATTGAACAAAATATTACAGTTTGTTTTTATTTTCCATTATTTATTTAATGAATTATTGAATTCTTGACATTCGTCTTACGTATATTAAGTTAAGCTCTGTTTTTCTTCGCTGTTTGTAATCGAATTTTAACTAGTTATTATGTTAATATTTAAGACACTTTCGTTGGCAAATATAATTTTGAAGAATGTACCTATTTAGTATACTTGGCCCGTCTCTAAAAATAGAGGCTATTTTATTTTTAAATAGATTCTAAATAATCAAATACAGTATAAATCAAGTACAATCTAATTAGCCATGTGGTCCCGGCATAGAGTAGGCTACCTCTTCCTTTCTCGTTGGTGTCATAAGAGGCGACTAAAGGAGAGCGAGGGATAGGCAGCAGCGTCTCTCTTAAAACATCTTTAAAGCCTAACTGCGGTTGCCAATTCGCCTGTCAAGAGTGGCAACTACTGGCAAAACCTCCCAAGGGGGAGGCTTATGTTCAACAGTGGACAATTAAAGGCCGATATGATGACATGATGAATCTAATAAGGGTAGGCGGTTTCATTTATATTACATACATACATATCTGACACGCTTGTCTCTCATTAGGGTAGGCAGAAACAATGGAACGCCAAATGCTTCGATTCAAACAAACCTCTTTCGCTTCTTCCACATTCATCAATCTTTTCATACACGCTCGCCGGTTACGGGTACTTTTAATTTGACCCTTCTTCAGCACGCCGCCTATTTGGTCGACATACGTCCGTCTAGGGCGGCTCCCATTCTCGCTTGACATTTATATTAAAATCTTCTGTTTTAGCTGATGTCTATATTCTAGGTACAAATTCTATATACTATATATATTTATCTCTATGTAAATGAAGTAATTTTTGATACTTTGGTATTTTGATTTCGAAATATCAGTTTGTCGAAATAACAATTTTTTACAATAGACAACTACTGTGAAAGTTTGTGAAAATAATGCATGAATTGATAAATTTGAAAAGAAAAAGGAAGAAAGAGAGGAAGGAAGAAAGAAAGAAATATTTTTATTCAATTAAATATTATATAAGCATTTTTAAATAGTATTTTATATGATTCGAAACGTAATTTCTGCCAAGAGCAACGAGCAAGAAACTCCGCTGTCACTTTTTTAAAAAATCGGTTTATATAAATTATTTTGTGTGAATACAAATTACTAACCAGTATTAGATTTGAATTATGGAAAATGGCATTGAAATTATCGAGTACGGAGGAGAGTACGTAGTAATCTTCAGGAATAGAAACGGTATAGATGACAGTATATTTATTGTCTAAAGATGACGGTTACCGTTTTTCATTAGGTCCGTAGCCTGTTTGTCATTCAAAGTTGTATAAAAAATTCATATTATGATGTCCAAATTCATATATGATCATAATAAGTCACAATATTCTTATACTTGTAGTGTTTTTTTATTGGATGGTAATGGAATGGTAACCCCACCTGCGTTAGCGGTATACGCTGGCGGTGCACCAATGAGAGATGACCGGTGAGGATGAAAAGACAGATCAATTAGCCCGTCGTGACGAATTCAACGATAAATTAGTCACGATGGTTTTTTTTATACCACTGAGGTGGCAAACAAGCATACGGTCCACCTGATGGTAAGTGGTTACCATAACCTATGTACACCTGCAATATCAGAGGTTATACGCGTGCGTTGCCGACCCTGAAGAAACCTTTTTACCCAGGGGAAACCGCGCGGAGGTCAAACTGATAGGATATATTGATATCAATGGGGACTAACCTCCCCATTGATAACAATCCTTTCCCCCTCACTTGTAGTGTTAACAATATTATCCTGTTTAGTTTAGGTACCTTGTACTGTGTGGTACCATCGGAATTTAACGCATGCGTATAATGTATATTTACCTGAGCAACCATATGCTTGTTACCAAAAAAAGAAACTACAGATATCGTCATTAGTCTGTAAGTAACTAGTCAATTTCTTAAACAGTAACTAAATATAATAATTATATGATATTTTAACTATAAACTTCAACATTCATTCCATATTTCAACGCATTTTTCATCATTAATAAGTTAAAAGAGGGATGTAAATTTATTGTTGCTTTTCCTTTTAGGCATTTTGTCCAATTTTGAGTTTATAATTTAAATTTGTTGTCAAGTTTATAATTGCAAACATTGAGTATTTCATATCTTTTTGCAATTTATAATTCATCAATTAATTCCTTTTTATATCTACTTTATAACTGATTGCTTTATGTTAGTATAGAAGATTCTAAATTTTTTGAATTTATAATTCGACTCATTTCCTATGTAGAAAGTTTAGCTTCACAATTAAATAATTTTTTCTTAGTATATTTAGTAGTAGTATAGTTAACAAGCTGGCGAGACAACTGCTTAAAAGTATACCTGCAGTCTTGAAAAATTAATTAAAAATTAACAGTTTCATACATGAAGAAAAACAAAGTTTCTAATTTGAAATAAAATTTTTTATTTATATTTATTGATAGAAAATATTATACTCTTTTTTTTTCAGGTCATCATAACTGGAGAGTAAACATTTGTGTGAGATGACAGATTCTGAGAGTAACAATGAAGAAGTTAAAGATTCCAAAGTGGAGGAGAAAAGTGATTCTTCGGAATCGAGTTGTGATGAAGAATCTATTCACGATGAGGACAAAACATCGGAAGAAAAGAAACCAATGTCGCTGCGTGGTCTTGGTGCGTTTTGCTCTATATAAATATGTTTTTCAGGTTTGGTGTCAGAAAATTTGCATATATATATATCTAATCTCTACTTATTGTAATTATTGGGATTTTCTAAGTTTTGTTTATACCACTAAGGTGGCTAGCGAGCGTGTAGACCGTTTTTTGGTAAACTGTCGCAGTAGCTTATGGAGGCCTGCGACACCAAGGGTGTCAGGTCCGCGTTGCCAATCTTGAAGTACTAGTAATATCCCATGGTTTAGTCCATCTGAGTTAATGCCATACAAACCCGTTAAGTCGTTTAAACGCGATTGAGTAACAAACATTCGAATATCTTTATAAACTTTTACATCTATAATGATATGTAGTATGATTTAAAAAATAATATGTCATTATTATAAATTAAAAATATATATTAGAAATTCTTATGTTACTTTAATGTATCTATTATTATTACGTCATTCGAACTTGTATTAGATTGTGAATACAAATGAAAGAGACTTTACTACATTTGAATATTCGTATTAAAAAAATAATATTTTAATTGTCAAATATTGACAAAGTCATTGGGAATAATCATAACAAATATTTTTTCTAAAATCGTCGTTTATAAATATATATTTGATTACAGTTCAATCAATAAAGTCTAAAATGTCAACATCCCGATCACAGCCTCGAAGAAAAAGATTTGTACCGAAATACGAAGTAGAAGGCGTCCACAAAGTAATATTAGGAGAGGAGACGGAAATACAAATCGATATGGTCGTTGGAACACATATAAATGCTCAATATCCCTGGAAACCTATAAGTAAAGCTAAAATAGCAGAAACTATTGATAGCGGCGGGGAACTCTCAGAATTCTTTCCCATAAAAGAGCAAATTGAAGCGTATACTGAAGAGTTTATTTTAATGGGATATATTGCAGATGAATCTAATGATGTTGATGAGTTCTATATTTGTTGTACTACAGAAGCAAGAGATCATTGTAAACAACAGTCTGACAGATTTATTAAGAGACAAGAAAAAAAATTAGAGAAGGCTGTTCAGAAGAAGCCAAGGCCATGGAAAAGTTTAGGAAGTGAAGCGGAAATATTGGAGTTATTACCTGTCAATACAAGACCATTAATAGAAGTAGAAATAAAAGCTAAATTTCCAAAAGTTTATGAACCTACTTCATTTAAAGTTAGAGATGCAGATGGAGCTCGTGACGGTTATATCGAACTAACTCCTTATAGGCAGCGATTTAATAATGTCTTTAGAAGTAGAGTTGATTATGGATGTCAAGCAGCGCCATCAAAATCTCACAGAGAAGCTCAAACTGAACTTAGATACCCTCAAAATATGTGGACTCAGTCAATAGCTGACGCTCTTTCAAAAATTGGTGATACTGAGGCAGGGGGTGATACTGGCATAGAAGGCGGAGCAGAAGATGACAACAAAGAAGGCCAAAGTTCTGATGAAGAAGAAGAAGAAAATAAAGAACCTCCTGATGAAGTAGGATTGGCTACTTATAGAGCAGCTTTGAAACGTATGCGTCGAACATCATACATAAAAATGATTAATGATTTCATGTCTTTGAAAAAAAGTGAAATGGATTCAATTGTGGAACTTAATACTGTAATGGATATATATTGTAATGATTATCCTAATTTGGTGACTGAAAAAACTATAGATATTTATGATTCAATGACATTTGAAGAATATGTATGTTTTACAGATGTAAGAGCTAAAGATAAATATGTGTCTAGTGCAGTTTTTCATCCAATGTGGTCAGGTATTGTAGCCATAAGTTATTCAGATGGATCACCATCAGTTATGAAAACTATAAGTTCCCGACCAGATCCGATACAAAGAGCAGTTTATGGGCTAAATCCTGTTATGATTTGGAGTCACATTGATAGTTTAATTCCAAAATTATATTTAGAGTCACCACGTGAAGTTAAGGTACTTTCGTTTTGTCCTTTTGATGAAAATATTTTAATCGGTGGATGCATAAATGGACAAATTGTAGTTTGGGATCTCACCAATAAATTAGAAAATGTAGAAAAGTTTGAAGTTTTAAGTGAGACACGGGAAAAGTATCGAATTGCCATGAATGCACATATGGGTTGGATGAAATCTGTTCAAGATAATGCTGTAGTACAAGCTACTGTCTTAAGTAATTTAATGACAAGTCATTATGGGCCTGTGACGACTATTAGGTGGCTTTCACCTAATTTCATAGTAACCTCTACTGGGAAAACTATTATGATGACGGATAAGAAAAAATCTATGATGTTTTTTACTGGTTCAGAGGACGGAAATATTCTAATTTGGAATTTATCTGTAGAAAATGTTACTTTAGTTGATAGTAATAAAGTTAAAAAATTAAAACGAGTATTAAAAAGACCCTCGGGTTTGTTGGTTGATATTTCACCTTACAAAGTATTAGATCGTCACTTGCAACCAATTTACAAAATTATTTTGGGGATAGCTGGGCAGCCGCAGATTTTGAGTTTGCAAACTTTTGCAATGAATCCTCCAGTTATTAAATATATTTATACGCCAAGAAATACTGGTACTGGACGGAAGTATTTTAATTGTGAAATTGTTTCACAAAGCGAAGATGAGATATCTACGGTTTTATATTGCGGTTCTCAGCATGGTGAGGTAAGACGTATTGCGTATGAGGGCCATGAATTCAATACCGGGGAAGTTGTCAATTCCGAATATTGTGAAATAAAATTTAGATGCTATATACACGACGGTATTATAACATGTACGCAGAGAAATCCATTTATAAATCATTTGACATTGACAGTGGGTGGAAAAATATTTGCAATTTGGTCTGATAAATTATTAGCTCGGCCGCTGATATGGAAGAAACGACCATATCGTCTTACAGATGCAGCTTGGTCATTATATAAACCTAGTTTATTGTTCATTGCTACTTCAGAAGGTGATCTTGAAACATGGGATTTATTACTCAGGAGTGATAAACCGATATCCGTACAGACTCTCTCTGGAACTATGCTTACAGGGGTTAGCCTTCATACTTTACCATTAGTCAAAAATATTATCGGAGTTAGTGACGTCAATGGTTCATTTAGAATGTTTTTAAATCCACCGATATTTATGATTGAGAATGCATCGTATATTGGTCGGATGGAAAGTATGATTTTAAGAGAATTGAAAGTTATGCATTCATTTATATCCTGGCAAGACGAGTGGATGAAAAATAATCCACATATACTGTTAGAGATGAAGCGAAAAGAAGGAGTTCTTTTAGCTGAAAAAGAAGAACAAAGACGCAAACAGAGAGAAGAAGAAGAGAAAAGATTGGAAGAACAGGCAGAAGCTAGAAGGCAGCAAAAGATGAAAGTAGTTGGCCCAGAAGAGAGATGGCAAAAAATTATACAAAAATTAATAGAGAGAACTATTGCCGTAAAAAAAAGAATTAATAGAGCTGAGCTTATTGAACACGAAAAACCATTAAGAGAATTAGAGAGTCAACGTTTGGAGAAAGAAAGAAGAATGCTTGAAATTATGAAAAACCAGGAGGGTATTTTTAATGACACCGTTGCTATTTTATTCCCGGAAGCAATAAAAAAGAAGGCTAAAGAAAAGAAAAACCTGTTGTCTGACGATAAAGAAGGACTTAAAAAAGAATATTTAGAAGATTACAATTATTTAAAGAGTATTGCTATCAACACGGTACGTGAAAATCCCTATAAAGCAGTATTCTCATGGGAGGGAACACTTGCTGAGGGTAAGGAGAGAAGACAAGCTTTAAATGCTTACGAAGATTATATTACGATGCATAGAATGAGAACTGAAGAGGAAGGTAAAGAGTCGCCACCTCCACCGACTGTCAAAGTAAATAAAAAAATACAACCTGTAATGTCTGGTCGTGAAATTACGAAAGAAGAGCTTACTGAAAGAGATAGTGCGTGAATTTTATTATAATCTGTTTTTTTGCAATTTATGTTGTATTTTACGAATAGTCTAATAAAGTTAGATTAATACATATTAATATTATACGAAAATTTGTTGTTTTAATAATATATTAGTTGTTTAAATTGCGTGTATTTTTTTACACATCTTATTGTATGATGAATTAATATGCAATATTCAATGATTTTTTTATACAACTTAGAAGGGCAAACAAGCTGACGGCCCACCTGATGGAAAGTGGTAACCGTCGCCTATAGACATGAGCAGTATCATGGACATAACAGAGTATACTGTTTCGCCCATGATACCACCCATGCGTTGCCATTCCTGAGGACTCAGGTGTTATTCCTCTGTACCCAGTAAATTCACGCCATATCCCACCCTTCAAATCGAAACACACCCATGCAAACACAGCTGCTTCACGGTTGAAACAATCGATTATCGTATTCCATCAACTCCTATGAATTCAAAGGATCACAATGTATAATGCAAAATCTATAGAAAACTTATTGCGTCCTTTGCAAGAGGTCCATGTCAAAGTCTCTAATAAAACTTTGGTAGAAAGCTTATTACACAGTCTGAGCACTCCCCACGATAAACAAATTTTCTCTATGAAACTTTTTATGTTCTAGGGTGTAAGGTTGAAATTTCCTATCGATAGCAAGTAGTGTAATGAAAGAAGGTTCAACAATTTATATTTACAAGATACAGTAAACAATATTTGGCAACTTTCCTTCAAGTGTTTCTTGAAAATATAAGTTTCACATTACATGTCAAACAAAGAATATCCAATTTCAAAATAAACAAAGAGATTCGTTAAATCGATATTGAATCTGGTAATTTTGTTTAAATAAATTTTTAATTATAAGTTCCTGAATATGGTGTATTGAATTTTGAATGTATTATAACCAAAAATAAATATTATACTTCATATTAAAATAAATATATAATAAAATAAAATATATATAAAATAAATAATACACTTCACATTATTGGATTTTATTAATTCAATTTCCATATTAATTAATTAATAAAAATGATGTTGCTATGAAGAATTTATTAAATGTATTATTAAACATTTATTGATTTAACTTGAGACGTAGATTAAAACAATCTTCTTTAAGTACAGAAATAATTAGATAAGATAAAACCATTCTTATGTTCATACAAGCAAAGCTGGGATAAGTGCTTATAAAATTTGAGTACAGACAACTTCTTTATGACGGGGCATTATCTTAAAATGGAATTTTCGAAGCGAATAAGTAATTAATGGGATCCAATTTAGTTCTTGCGGCTATTCTAATACGATTGGCAATAAAAGTCGATGATTACTCTGTATGTAGCTTTATATTAAGGTGGAATGTGTACAATCTATTTAATTTCTTGTCGATATTTAGTACATTAGGGCTATTGAGTTTTAAATATTGCCTTTTAAATATTATTAGATTCACTTCATTTAATAAGCAAACATCACAGAATAAAACAAGTATTTTTTTTTTTAATTAATACTATTTTTATTTATTTATTCAAACTTTAATGCACAGTAGAATTCTATGTACATTTGGCGGACTTAACACCGGACGGTGTTCTCTACCAGTCAGCCATTGGGTAAATCGAGAAATACGTAGGCGGTGCATTTTTAAATAGAGGAAAAAAAAAGCAATACTTGATAAATTCATATAATATAAACATACACATAATATATTAAATTAATATATAAATATACATACAATAAATACATAAATAAATACATATATAAAATATTATTATATAAAACAATTAAATAAAACAACTGCAATAGAAGAGCAAATAGTAATCTATGACTCAAACAGAGTAACCAGCAGGAGAAGCTTAAAGGGATTTCTCTAAGAAATAGGTATTTTTACCTTTTGACTATTAAATCAGAATAGATTTTGTTTTAAATTTTATTTGTTGTTTCATTGTAGCTGGATATAATATGATGGTAAATACATAGTTATTGAGACTCAGACTAGTACTAGAGTACTTAGGTATATAGATATTTTTTTTTCTGGGTGAAAATGGTATGGTAACCCCGCCTGCGCTAACAGGATACGCTGGCGGAGCACCAGTGAAGGGTGATAGATGAGAATGAAAACAGGCCAGTTAGCCCATCATGATGAATTCATCAGGAATTAACCATGATAGCTTCCAGGGGGAACCGCGAGGAGGCCGACCTGGTTGGGTTAGTAAATTAAACAATAATGGGGCAAGAGCTACCTATGCAAACGACTTTTGCTCAAAGTCTCCTTCTAGTGAGACCTGAATCCTTATTAGATATTAGAATTAGTTTTTAACTTGGCGCTAATTATAATCGTCGATGATCAGAAGCGTCGACTTTTTAAAGAAATATCATCATATCAGCCTTTAACTGTCCACTACTGAACATAAGCCTCCCCTTTGGGGGGTTTTGCCAGTAGTTGCCACGCTTGGCAGGCGAATTGACAACTGCAGTTAGGCTTTGGAGATGTTTTAATAGAGACGCTGTTACCTATCCTTCGTCCTCCCTTAGTCGCCTCTAACTACACCCACGGAAAAGGAAGGGGTGGCATATTCTATGCCGGCAAAGAACCTTCTCATCTTCACTTATTTAAGTGAAGATCAGAAGTGAAATCGAAAATAATTGATAGCTTCGTAATATAAATAAAATATTTTCATTTCGGATTAAGAAGTGATTGCAAATTCACACTATGCACAATAGCAATTTCTTTTTATATGGTTAACGATTTTAAGTGTTCATAATTTAGGAAAATACGGAATAGAAGATGTAGAGGAAATTACGATTCTCATAAAATTAGGCCAATTATTTAAAACAAACAAAAATGTTGATGCTATTTTTTTTCTACTGTGAAAATATTATTTTTATGATATTAATAGGTAACGGCAAAGAAATATCATTAATTAATTACTCACGACATTGAGCTCTTCCATATCGTCGTCACAGGTGAAAGCTGGTGTGGCACATAGTTTGCGCTTCATAAGTGCTAGCTTAGCCACGGTCGCTGTACACCTCACGGCGTTACGCGATGGCTCTCACGCTTGACATCTGAAAAGACATTGTCTGTTATGTTCTTGCTCATCACGTGGCTAAATCACATCGATTGCATAGATAATGATTAAAATTGGTACAGTATTGGCTACGATATTGCGTAATACATATATGCATACACGCATTCGTGCACGCACGCACTCACTTACACACATACTAATTAAAAAATACGGTCGTATTTATATAATATTTATCCGCAGAGTGAAGTCGATATTATTTTATAGCGAAAAGCCTAAGTTAATATAGACATAGCATCTAGTGTTAAAAACGTGTCAACATTTACAAAACTTTTAAGGCTCGAACCTGCAGCCATCGCATGCCAAGAGTTATTATTTTATTATTATTCATTATATTATCAAAGATATAAGTTTTTATATGTACGCTTTAAATAAATATACAACAAACACACGCACATACGCACTCTCTAGTATGCCCGCACGCATACACACACACAAACCTTCCCACGTGCGTACGCACGCAGGCACGCACACACGTACACGTATACACACACACACACACACACACACACACACACACACACACATACATTAAGAACCTTAAATTGTAATCTATTATTACTTAATTCCTTAAAAGTGTTCTATTTTTGTCTTACTATATAATTGAAAAAGTGAATGTTGTAAACACCTTTATTTTTATAGGCATAGATTGTATTATATGTAATGTTTGTTATATATGTTACAATGCAATATGCTTTACGTAATCCTATGAATAAATAAATAAATATATGAACATTGCTTCGTAAGAGCAAATCTATTCATTATGTAGCTACCGTTGGCATTAATCATGTATTCAAGAGGGAACCAAATGTAGCGAAGATTGGCGAGGCCCGGAAATCGCTTGTTTACTTTATATATGGAACATACAAACAGATTACGGCGAATTTAGCTGTAACAGCTTAGTGGTAATAACCATAACATTAAACCATATTATATTTTCGTTATACGTAACAATAATTTGTACATACATACATACATATCTGTCACGTCTGCCTCCCTATTAAGGTAGGCAGGAACAGTGGAACGCCAAATGCTTCGATTCAAACAAACCTCTTTCGCTTCTTCCACATTCATCAATCTTTTCATACACGCTCGCTATTTACGGGTATTTTTAATTTACCCTTCTTCAGCACGTCGCCTATTTGGTTGACTTACGTCCGTCTAGGGCGATATAGACGGATGTATGCTGACCAAATAGGCGTCCTACCGACATCTCCATTCATCCATCCTCTCCAAATGGCCAAACCGCACCAACAATAATTTGTGAAGAAAAAAAAATGAAAAAAAAAAAACAATAACATACTCTATCATTATCATGGTCATTTAATGATCGTCTGAGTAACTTGGTCGAAACATGGAAATAAGCCTAGAGATTGCCCTAGCGATAAGATGCCTAAAAGCCTTTTGTATATTTTGATCTGTGCTCCATGCTACTGTATTTCAGTTGAATTGTTTATATGTCATTATTTATTTTTTATTTATTTATTATTATTTGGTAATTTTATGACTTAACCAATCTTCTTCTGAAAGTCGAAATAAAAATTTGTCTCTGTTCTTAATATACATATGTATATACACTATATTATACATGTAACATAATGATATTTATACATATTTAATATATATTAATTAATAATGATCTGTAGCAACGTGAAATAATTAGGTACTCGCAGTGTTCGCTAAGGGCTTTAATATTCAATGTCGGTTTATGTAACCTTTGGAAGCATATTAAATACTCTACTGTATAATGTATACGATTCATTATCGGATTTCTGTCACAAATTGAAATCACTCGTATGTAATAATAATGAGTGAAGTTTTAATAATTAGCTTAATACATATTACTTGTATATTAACAGCGTAAGTGTTCATTTTCAATCAACTTTAAAAAGAAATCTCAATTTGGTTATATTTCACCTAGAGGGAGACTTTGTACAAAAGTCGATTGCTTGGGTACCTCTGTCCTATTCGTGTTTCAACCGTGAAGCAGTTGTGTTTGCATGGCTGTGTTTCGGTTTGAAGGGTGGGATATGGCGTGAATTTACTGGGTACAGAGGAATAACACCTGAGACCTTAGGAATGGCAACGCATGGGGGGTATCATGGGCGAAACAGTATACTCTGTTATGTCCATGGTACTGCTCATGTCTATAGGCGACTGTTACCACTTTCCATCAGGTGGGCCGTCAGCTTGTTTGCCATTCTAAGTTGTATAAAAAAAAATCCAATCGAAGTTTTTTATTTTTATTTTATGTTTGCTACCTCATAACTCTGTCAGTTGTGAATCGATTTGCAAAATATTTTTTTTATTTGAAAGTATATCCTATACTTACATATCAGTCTTGTCGAAATTTTACCAAAAACAATTCAGCAGTTTAGTTTTTAAATTATAATAACTAGTTTTGTCACAATTGAAGTCGGTTTGTTTTTATGGAACACAATTTTAATTTTCAAAGGAACGTGGATCGACATAAAATAAAAAAATTTGAGCTTCTCACGCTAATGTCTGTTAATACAGCTCATTTAGGAATTTAGTTAGTATATAGTAATATTTAATTTTTTTCTTAAATCATATTAAAAAGAAAAAAAAATATTCAATTCCTTTGGTAAAGACTGTTACTTCGTTTCATTTTATATAGTCAAGAAACCTCACTGTCCTTTTTTCGGTAGTCGAGTGAAAATAACAATCCTTAAAAATTCAGCGAGATGATTCCTAGGTGATTTTTTCAGCTAAAAAATCACCTCTCATCAATTCGGCCTCGATGGTCGAACGTGTTCAGCTTTTTCGTAACTTTACGTACAAGTAGAGACTATATAGTATATTTCTTAAAGCTTTTAGCGTTATAACGATTATAATGTTACCTTTAAATATATATATTCTCTAGCTAATTAACTTCTTTGTCATTATAATTGCTAAGCATGGGAATAATTGCTACTTTTAATTTTAATTATCAATTAATATAATTATTTTTCGTTATAGCAGTCATCACACGTTTGAAAAATCACACTGTTACATTTACTACTATTTGCTGTTAAAAATGAAGAAAGAATTGTGATTTTTATAAATGAATTATTATTATTTCATTAAATATGAACGCGACGACTTCCTGCGATTAGTACTTCTTGCAGCTGTCTATGTGAAGACATGTGGCAGATGTGACATATATTTTTGCATATCATATGATATTTGACATGCTACTTATGTAATATTCCAAGCAGAAATGTGGCTCAATCTTTCAATCATCTATTCTATATATATATATATTTCATTATTAAATAAGGAATAGTAATCAATAATAAGGAATAGTAAGTAATCAATCTTCACGACTCTGGAACGCGCTTCCTGATGCCATTAAGAGACTACCGACTAAACCGTCTTTCAAAAAAAGCGTTCACGCTCACTTTTTATTTTTATCCGAGCAGTAAGTACTTTATATTATTCTCAATTTCGTGTATAATATAGTATGTGTCATATATGTGTAAGTATATTTGTTATTTATATATATTTATTCGTTTATATATGTAATTTTAGTATGTATGTATATCAATAATTAGTAGTACCACATTCGAGTATTCTGACACTTCCCTATGGTTGACTGGGAGAGAATGCTTTTAGCATTAAGTCCGCCATGTACACATATTTGTACTAATGAATAAATAAATAAATAAATAAATAAATAATCAAATGGCTTACCGCGTGGTCCCGGCATAGAATGAGGTACACCTTCCTTTACCATGCTTATCCTAACAGGCGACAAAGGGGACTCAATGGTCGAGGAATGGGCAGCAGTGTCGCTCTTAAAACATTATCAAGCCCAAACTGTGGACGACTAACGGCTGATCTGAGATGATGATGATGGCTAAACAAAAATCTTCCTCTTGTATACGTTTTAAATAAGTATTGTTCTTTTTTTTTTGTACAAATCGAATATACTCGTAATCAACGTATTCCGGTCACGTATTGTTCATTTTATTTTTTATTCATACCGTTGACGCTGAGTCTTAACTCACCCCAGGAAAACGTGGCGTTCTTGTGAGATAGGAAAATATAAATTTACAATACCTTTTAAGAAGGATTTGCATATTGTTTATATCAATGGTACACCTTACTTTTACCATGCTACTAATTTATATTCGCTACTTAGTCCGCGTGATTTAAATAGGTTATTGTTCTGAATAAAAGTATCTACCTCTACATAATAAAATAAATAACATAATAATAGTATAAAAGTGTCTACCAGAGGGAGACTTTGTACAAAAGTCGATTGCTTGGGCACCTCTGTCCCATTCGTGTTTCAACCGTGAAGCAGTTGTGTTTGCATGGCTGTGTTTCGGTTTGAAGGGTTGGATATGGCGTTAATTTACAAGGTACAGAGGAATAACACCTAAGTCCTCAGGAATGGCAACGCATGGAAAGTATCATGGGCTAAACAGTATATTCTGTTATGTCCATGGTACTGCTCATGTCTATAGGCGACGGTTACCACCTTACATCAGGTGGGCCGGCAGCACGTTTGCCATTCTAAGTTGTATAAAAAAAAATCTAATGTGATTTTTTTCTGTTGTAAATGTAAATGTTCATTTATATTACAATACACCAAAGTATGATCCCCTAATAACCGTATTGTACCCCAATTAACACAGTTCACATACCAGAAAAGGCATCCCATCAATATCTCGTATCCAATAGCGAGGCAGGATGCCTAAACAAAGCACCTTTCACACCCAAAACAAAGATTATGTTTCAGAACAAATCTAGGCCCTTTCTCAGCTGTTAACAGTATGCAGTTACAGTATAGTCAGTTGTCACGATTGCCTAATATTAACATTGATAATAACACGACCTTAAACAAATTCAAATCCACTTTGTATAAATTCTATAGTTAAATTTAATCAGCTTAATAACAGCATGGCATGTATCATCGCATATATCGTCATAGTCGTAGAATACTGACGGATCTATATACGTAATATTTGTCAG